CCAACTTTTCAGATATTTTTTGGGAAATGTTGAAAACCATTTTCTTTTTCCCCTTTCCTTTCCCAATTTTTTGCCATTTTTGTTGGTTATCTCAACAAAACCCAAATTAAAAAACATTTAACATTTTTGGCTGTAACTTTACAAAGTTTGGAAAACTTTTAAGGGGGTTTTGAAAAACTTTTTTTTAAGGGACCCGTTTTATAGAAAAAATAATTTTTGGTTGTGTTGTGCATACAGTATGGTTAGTTTGGACTTTTCAGACTCAGCAGGAAAATTCATACAAATGCTACAAAAATTTTGTTGTAATTTAAAAGGTAAAAAACCCCAAAACCCAAAAAAGTAATTTTATTGCAGGGTTACCAAAACAATTGTGTGGTGGCTGCATTTATTTTCTTTTTTTTTGGCCCTTTTTTACCTTTTTAAATTTTTAGCTGGTTATTTGGCCAGTAAACCCTCCCCTATTTTGAGTGCCTTCCCCCTAGGATGAAGGGGCACAAGGGGGAAAGTTTGGGGCACAGGGGTGGACTTTTCAAAATCATGGGGCCCCCGGGGCCCAAAAGGGGGGTTTGGGGCCCCTGTGTCCTTTCCCCCAAACTCAAAAAAAGCCTAATTTAAAAAGGTACCCGGGGGGATCCATGGGGCCCCCCCAATTTCCCCCGGGGGCCCTGGGGCAGTGCCCCAGTTTCCAAATTGGGCAGTCGCCCCTTTTTTGGGACAAAGGGAAATTTGGGGGGACGGGGGTTTTAAAATGGACTAGGGAGATTTTAAAAAACACCAAAAAAAATTTTTAAGGAAAAAAAGCTCCCCATTTTTTTTAGCAGGCAGGGGAAAAGTTTTGTTTTTTTTTGGGATAAAGGTTTTTTGAAAAAAATAAAAGTGTCACTGAAAGGGACCCCCGTTAAATTTTTAAAAAAGGGTTTTTTCATTCCTGTAATGGGTACACTGCAGGAGGTTGTTTTTTTTTTTTAAAACAAAAGGGCTTACTGGCCCGATCCCGGTGAAAAAAAAAGGAAAGAAAAACCTTAAAAAAAGGGGAATAAAATTTTGGGGGGGGGGCCCTTTACATTCCCAAGAATTTGGGAAGCTGCAATATTTTAAATTTTTTGCTTTTGGGTTTAATACCGCAATATAGTCTTCCGGTCACACCGCTGGCAGTTTAAAATCGCGTAGATTAGTGTTGAGGGTGCGATATATTTTCTGAAGAACCTAATTGCTACTTGGGAATAGTTTCCCTCGATTTCTTGGCAATTTGCAGTGGCTGGTTTCCATATATATATGGTGAATATGGGCCTGGTCTGAGTCCTGATTGTCCCTCACTTGCTATCAACTCTGCTGTTCAGCAAATGTGCTCTGCCTTTCCCTGTTATGCAGCTCTTTCTCATTGGAGGGTCCTAACACAGCGCATTAGCAACTCCAATTAAAAATGGTCATCAGCAGTTTAGGAGCAGACACTGTTTTCAGCCATGCATGTGTCTTCCAAACACACAGCTCACACAGCCCCCAGAAATGTCATTTATCCTGCTCACTTGATTTTTCACCAGAAGTTCTTAACTAACGATGATACAGGGTTCAAGATTTAGGAATCCCCTGCATATGATAATTTTAGTTTTTGGGAAATAACCCCTCCGAGGGCTAATAACTTCTAAATGGATGCAGACCATGCATGAGCCTTTTCCTCATTCAGAAACACTGAGAGTACAGGGTGTGGTGACCACCATGGGAAACTTCTGGCACTGTCACCAGGGCCTGGGGGTCAGTAAGAGGGCCCCATGAGAATGCCCCTGGTTCTCATTTTTCATAGGCTTTTTTGAGTTTGGGCTAAGGACACAGGGCCCCGCGATTCCCCTATTGCCCGGGAGGGCCCATGAGTTGTCCAGTCCGCCCCTGCTAAAGAGTGCAACCAGGGGCGAACTGACAAACTCATGGGAGCCGTTGTGTCCTCGCCCACAAACTCAAACCACACACAAAAAAAATCCTATGAAAGGTTAACCAGGGGCATCTCATGGGGCCCACCTACTGACCCAGGCCCTCTGGCAGTGCCCGAGAGCCTGAATGGTCAGTCCACCCCTGCAGTGCACCCAGGTTGTATTATAATGAACCAGACTCACCCATTCTGAGCATCAGTCTGCAACAAGACACTACTGCAACAAACAGCTAATTCCTATTTAAAACCGAAATCTGCTACGCTTGTTAAAAAATTCCTGCAATGTGTGGTGATCTCCCAGAAGAGGCAGGGGCGGACTGACCATTTGGAAACTTGGGCACTGCCCTAGGGCCCAGGGGTCAAGTAAGGGGGCCCCATGAGATGCCCCTGGATACCTTTTTCATAGGCTTTATTTTGAGTTTGGGACAAGTGAGCACAGGGGCCCCATGATCCCCTATTGCCCTGGGGCCCCAGGAGTTGTCAAGTAGTATTATTTTTTGTAGTGTATTTAGTTTACGTGTCTCAAATGAGTGTGTTTTAATTTTCAGTTTCGTAGTTTGTCAGTGTCCGTCTAAGGGTTCTTCCCTTTGTTCCCGCCCTCTGCAGAGAGGATTTGTTTTTTTCTCAAGGAAAAGCTGGAGTTAAGGTGGGGAATAACACGATTAGAAAAATCGAATAAACGCCGGATAAATCGGATTCATCCCCACTGACACGGAGAGGCGTTCCTTCGGTTGGTCTGATAATTCGTGCGCACAATTAACCAATCTAAAATTATCGTTCGTCAGGCATTACGTATGGGTGTACCGTCTTTGTGACGTCTTCGCTAACATAGTGGACAGTGATGTGGCAGTGCAATGTGACCATTTGTAGCCCACGCCCTACCGGGCCATAAACGAGAGCGATGATACATCAACAAATGACCCATCAATTGAGTAATAATATCGTTTAATTAACATGGACTATATATACATGAAATAGTGATACAGAAACATTAATCTGCAGATTTCTGCTTTGTCATAGAGCTCCATTAGGCCGATCTACTTTTAACATTTGGATTTTTCGAGTTCGTGTTTACGAAGACGAAAGATTCCCTTGGACATAAACATCCCAGGCCAGTCCTGAAATAAGATGATGATACCTAAGTAGGGCTGCTCTTATAGAATAGAATAGAATAGAATAGAAAAATAATAGATTAAAACAATAGTAATAGAAAGTATTAAAATGGATAAAAAAATACGAAAGGAATAGAATAAAGACTAGAAATAAAGACAAAATAGTGTATAGGATAGAAAATAAAATACATACAATAGAATACTGAGAAAATAGAAAAAAAAAAGAATAGTGAATCAAATACAAACAGCACAAAGCAAAACAGAACAGAATAGCATAAGCATAGAAAATGAAATAAAAGAATTGAATAGAATAAACAGAATTGAATTAATTACATAATAGGATTTAAAAAGTACAACAGACTAAATAAAACTAAAACATCAAATAAAAGCAAATTATTCAAATTCGAAAATGATTGGAATTAGAAAGATAATTTGAAATAGGAAAACATATTACAATAAAAGACAGTAAGGTAGTAAAAATTGAAATAAAGATGTTATGAATCCTAAATTAGGCTGCGTTTATAGGGAATAAGAATAGAAATAATAGTAAAAAAAACAAAAGATAAAAGAAAAAAGAACATAAGAAATGGAAAAGTACCGTATTTTTCCGCTCCATAAGATCGCACATTTTTTTTCCCCCAAAAAGGGGGGGAAATGTCAAGTCGCGTCTTATGGATGCGAATATAAAGCGGAGGACGGTCCGGTATCCCCACTCCGTACCCTTTGCGGCCACCATGTCAGAATGGAGGATAACGGAATACGTCCCAGCTCAGCTGTTGTCTACAGCAGGGTCCTTACACTGTTACTAGCTTCCAAGCGCAATGCACAGTCTTCCCGCGCTGGCGTTCTACCGACAGCCCGGGTGCCCACTAAACGAACAGTGTGCTTTTGAAACTTGGAGTGAAAAGATCCGGGACCTTCTGGCGACCACATGAAAGGTCTCAAGAAAGGCGCCAGAGGCCATAGGATCACAAAGAGCAGCGCTTCTCGCAATAGACAGCAGCTGGGCACCACCTGGCTGTCACAGAAAGCCGGCCCGGAAAGAAGAGGGAGATAACAAACTCCGCGGGAAAGTGGGAGCGGACTACCATGTCAATATTCAGGTACCCGCATCTCCCCTCCCTTCCCCAAAAGGTCAGCCATGTCTCTGGTCCATTCCCCGTCACTGTCTGCCAAGTCTGTTTGGCGTGGACATTCTCTCCCTGCCACTAGTCCGCAGCTCAGAAAGGTCTAACCCTGCACTGTCCGCAGTCTTAGTGTCATTCCCTGCTCTGTCCTGCACATCTATTGGTCATGTCCCTGCACTGTCCGAAAAGTCCTAGGGTCCTTCCCTGCATCGTCCCAGTCTCAGGTCATCCCCTGACACTGGTCCCGCAGCCTCTGTCATCCCCTGCACTTAAATGTAAGCAGTCCTCTGAGTCACGAACCCCCTGCACTGTCCGCAAGTCGCGGGTGCATCCCTGAGCACTGTGGCCGCAGTCTGCTGGTCATCTACCGCAATGTGTCCGCAGTCTCTGGGTCATCTCCTGACTGTGGCCGCAGTCTTCAAATACGGTCATCTCCTGCACTGTGTCCGCACACAGTTCTAAGAAGTCATCACCCTGCACTGTGTACGCAGTCTCTGGTCATCCCTGTAATGTGTCCGCAGTCTCTGGTCATCTCGTACTGGTCCGCTGTCTCTGGTCATTCACTGTACTGTGTCCGCAGTCTTCTGGTCATCTCCTGTACTGTGTCCGCAGTCTCTGGTCATCTCCTGTACTGTGTCCGGAGCTCTCTGGTCATCCCCTGTACTGTGTCAGCAGTCCATTGTTCAGAATACTTTTGTAGTTTTCTTTTGGTAATTTCACTACTCTAAAATCTAGATCTGATTCGTCTTATGTACTCAGGTGCGTCTTAGGAGCGAAAATCTACCGAGTAACTAATGAAAAAATAAAATATGTCTAATAGATATAAAATAGAAAAGAATCAGAAAACAAAATCGTATAGGATAAGAAAATAAAATATGAAAAATAGAATGGAGTATAAAATAGAGATAAGCACTGCTAAAGAATAATCTCAAATACTGTGTCCGCATAGTCAACTAAATCATCAATAGGAACAGATGTAGCATAGAATTGAAAATAATCATAAATAGAAATAATTGTTGATTAGAATAGAAAAGAATAGAAATGAATTCTTAATAGGATAAAAAAGAACAGACTAGAATAAAACATTACAGACGATAAAAGTGCTATAATAGAAATATTCTAACTAGTGAATATGTCATTACCAGAATAAAAAAAAGAATACGAATACAGAACAGGAACAAACAGTTCTTCCTAAAAATTGAATTTCAAAAACGATTGATTTGACCAAATAACGAATCATACAAAATGAATACTGTAAACGAATCATTCTAACATAACAAAAAGCAAATACGATTAAGAAACAAAATTATTAACTTAACAAACAAATCTAAACTGCGATGATTTTTCTCATAGTGTGCACAACCTCTACATTTAACCTCCGCGGGTCGGCAGTTTACAGTGGCGGGGATCTTGGGGCGGGGGTTTGGGGCGAGGCAGGAGCAGAGGAAAATTGACCTAAAAGAAGGGGAATCAGCACAATGTGGGACACATTCTATCTATGCAGTCACAGGCCTCTCGATGCTGGTGGTTCACGAGCGTCAGATCTCGGGCTGCACTTTGGACTTATCCCGCACGGCTATCACCAGTCCAGTAGTTCCACAGTAATAAATTGAAGGTCTCACAGTGGATCGCGGCTACCAGGTCTTAAAACTCACCCAGGGTACAATTATGATCTTTGCTCCCACAATGGGCATTCATTAAATTACCAAGGTGTCCACCTGCGGCGGTTAGTTGGCTCCTGTATGTGCTGCAGTTAAAGCGTGCTACGTGCGATGCACGTGTAATAGAAAAAACGGAAAATAAGGGCACAAAGAATGAAAAGTTGAACTGATCTGCGATATGTTCCACATTCATCGAGGGGGGAGGCCGGAATCTAATTGAGGTGGCATTAGGTTTTACCATCGTGGGGGGAATACAGTGTGAAATGATTTTACACGGCTTCCTGTCCAGGCCAGTTGTAGCAGGTTTCAGCGAGCTGTCTAGACACTGCCTGGAGGGGAGAGCTGAAAGTATGAGCAGGGGTCATGACATACCATTGTACCCAAACTAAAATCGGATTCGCGGGGATAGCAGTTTTCTTAAGCACTAACTTTGAGCTTTCGACTTTGAGTTGCACACATGCAAGTCTTTGGGACTCGGACTTATACATTCACAAAAGTGCGCCATGGGGGGGGTTTGAATTTTGAAGACTTATATGCAAGTTATTGGTCGTAAAAAGGGGTATGGGGATCTTGGGTTATCTGAGGGAAATGAATCAGTGAAAAAACATTCAAGAAGTACCGTTTTTTTAAAGGGACAGTCACTTTTCATTGCTTAAAGTTAAAAAAAAAGAAGAAAAAATTCCTTTAACCATTTCCAGTTACAGGGCAATTTTACACCTTTCCTGCCCAGGCCATTTTCAGGTTTCAGCGCTCTCACACTTTGAATGCCCAATTGCGCGGTCATGCAACAATTGTACCCAAACTAATATTTTATAATTTTCTTCACACAACTAGAGCTTTCTTTTGGTGGTACATTTATATCACCGATGGGGTTTTTATTTTTTTGCTAAATTTACAAAAAAATACCAAAAATTTTGAAAAAAAAAAACACGTTTTTCTTTGTTTCTGTTATAAAAGTTTGCAAGATAAATTAATTGTTCTTCATAAATTTAGGCCGCAGATGTATTCTACTACATGTCTGTGGTGAAGATATAACCCAAATTAGGATGTATTATTTAGTTTGTAGGGAAAGTTATAGAGTTCACAAACTATGGTATAGATCTGAATATTGATCAATCCTGAAGTACTGACAGCCAATCTAATTTCTTGAGGTCCAAGAATGTCAGAACAGTACAGATATCCCCCAAATGTCAGAACAGTACAGTTATCCCCACAAATGTCAGGATAGTACAGATATCCCCAAATGTCAGACAGTACTGATATCCCACAAGAATGTCAGGGACAGTAAGATATCCCCCAAATTTTTGCAGCAGGTAAGACAGTCCGACGTACTTCATAAGAGGCATGGCGAGGTTTTTTGAAGTTGTAATTTTTTTGTCATAATTTTTGTTGGGGAAAATGAAAAAAATTTTAAAAAAAAAATTAGTTTCACTATTTTTTTTTTACATATCTGTCACCAGTGCAGTACAGCGTCATCATATAACTGGCATGGCGGTGAATCAGGGACACTGACTGGTGACAGTATGAAAAAAAATAAAATTATATCATTTTTTTTTATTTTTTTTAATATTTTTTTTTATTTTTTTTAACTTTTTTTTCTTCTTTTTTAAGATTTTTTTTTTTCAATATATTGCACTATGACCAAAGTAGTACAATGTTACCATAGTAACATTGTACTACTTTGGGGAATGATCAGTATTTTTTTTTTTTATACACAATTTGCTTATAGCAAAGAATTACTTTGCTATAAGCAAGCATTTTTTACCTGAATGACATCGATTCATTTCAGGGTTTTTTTTTTTTTATTTGTTGCTTAGCTGTGATTTGGCCATCAGTATAATCACATGACATGTGCATGTGATTAGCTGTGACCATTCACAGCTAGGCACTAGTATACAATGGAATGGCATTGAATGAAGCCATCCATTGTTTTATTACAACTGTCATGTGGACCTGCTGTGATTGGTCACAGCAGGGTCACATACGGAGTACCATGAGCAACCAGGGGCCCGATACTCAGATCTGTCCATCGGCCCCCCCCCCCCCGTGTACCGAGGTACACGGGTGTCGTGACAGATCGCTGCCTGCTCGCTGCCTTTGGCTCGTACAGGAGCGCAATCTGTGCTAATGTGCGGGAGGACGCCATATTGACGTCAATCCGGAACACTGATGACATTTGCGGGCCGCCATTGATCCGAGGAACAGGATGGCAGGCCGGGGAAAGGGGGGGGGGGACAAACAATTGCTCCCCCCCTGACCGTACCAGGCCACATGCCCTCAACATGGGGGGGGAGGGGTGCTTTGGGGGTAGGGGGGCTCATTTCCAAAAGCACCTTGATCCATGTTGATGGGACAAGGACCCTTTTCCCACAACCCTTTCTTCTTCTTTCTTAGATACACTAATATTAACTGGAAAGGCTTCTTCACAGTAAGAGCTGTGAAAATGTGAATAGACCCTCAAGAGCAGGGGCAGACTGACAAATCATGGGGCCCCCAGGCATAAGAAAGTGGGGCCCCGGTTCTCACCCCC